CGTTAAGTCTTCTTAGATGTCTTCAAATACAGTGAGGCAGGAAGAGGCGAGAAGTCCAGGTGGGACTTGGGAGGTGAAGTAATTGTCATTAAAGGATGAAACGGCTAGAGTTTGGCCTGGAGTGGACTGTAGGAGTACCGAGCTCTGGAAATTGGAAATTTTGTCACTGTTCTGGAAATTTGAATATAAAGAAACGTAATAATTCGGACAGAGGGACAAATGGCGATCACTGAAGTTGAAAGAGAAAAAAGGAACCACGACAATCTTCTGCCAGTCTATCAGTTCGGCACAGTACGTGGGCGGCTCGTTCAAAGTTTGACTCCGGAGGAGGGCTTAGGGGGTGTGAGTCAGAAATTGGAATGCTAATCAGTCGCTTCGGTGTGTAAAACTTATTTTCTCTTATTCAAATGAAGTGTGAACACGACGCTCTAACAAACGCAAGTATGAATACTATCAATCAGACTTGTCATGACTGAACAGTTAAAATGGATGTACATGGAAATGTACTGTGTCTGTCCTTGGTGCTGAATGTTGTGTTTCTCAGTATGTACCGTCAGATCTTGGGTAAAACCTGTTGTAGATTACAACCACGTGCACTTTGTTGTAACTGAATACTAACAACTATACACATCAGTTTACAAATATGTAAATCAAATATAAGCATGATTATACCTAGATCTATGTGCAGGTACAACACTTAGCAATGGCAGCATAATATATGGGTAATGAGAGCATCTAATGAGTAGAGACTAACCGATTTTCCTTATTTAAGGTTTCCAGCTCACCCCTACGACCCGTGAACTTTGAACACAAAAGGAGCCTTGTCTTCCGGCTGATTTGAAGTATGTGATGCCGCTATCGTTCTGCTCGGATGTAAAGCACAGTCGTACTTTCCGTAGCTGTAAGATGAGACAAAGCCGGGAGTTGACAGTTCTGACAGATGCGGTTTGCCGCTGCCTGACTTGCTGCTACCGCCACATGTGGTACTGTCTTCCAGTCAAGTCTCCATTTACGCTCCATACGTCGTCTGTACCCTGTACAAAGTTCAGGTCGGCGTCGCGATCTGTTTTCTCGGGTCTGGACACCGATAAGCAAGATATAATGCAGAGTAGAGGATATTTTTTTACTTCAGTAAACATCGATCTAGAAAAAATGCATTTTTTGTCCTTAGAAAGTTCTGAGAAAAGTAACACGCCACGAAGGATAGGTCTGTTGGAGTACTCAGTTGTTTATAGGAGAAATTCAATTTTACCGGACATTAACCATGCTTGTATTTGGTTTACATACTTGTAAACTGATGTGTACAGTTGTTAGTATTCAGTTACAACAAAATGCATGTGGTTGTCTTCAAATACCGAATAATCTACAACAGGTTTCACACAAGATCTGACGGTACATACTGAGAAACACAACATTCAGCACCAAGGACAGACACAGTACATTTCCATGTACATGTCAACTGGAGAGTTCTAAACTGTATCGGCGCGCTGAATGTGTCACTCTCTACGGAAAAAGACGAAAACGATTAAGTTGTTTGTACACATAGCTCTCTTGTACCATATCCACATCCACACACCACCAGCCCACTTCCTCCAGAAAAGTTGTACAGTCCCGTTGTTCGCCATTGTGACCTCCTATGTCACAGTGACGTGTTAAATATCGTGTTACTGTGTAATTCGATCTGTCGTGGCGTGGAGACGAGGAGACTGGGCGCGTAAATCGACTGCTTCACCTTTATGTCCCCTCCAACACCTCTGACGTATGCTGGAGGAACAGGGAGGCGGTCTTGTACCGTTGCCCACGCAGTAAAGCATACCTAGGTCATACCTGTCCTAGTTTTTTTCTCATCTCTCCTTAATTCATAGTCTTTCATCTTGGTATAAAGTTCTGGATTAAAAAAACTGTTTAAGTGAGGAACAAGAAGAACGAACGTTCAAAATAACATGGATTTCGTTTTGAAACGATATGTTAACTTTTGTCATGACTACTGATTCCACCCATCCCCATCATGGAGTACTCCCTGTACGTCAGGATGATTACACGGTTGGAAAAACTGCGGGGGAAGTATTCAGAGAACATCATGTTCAAAGAACGCTTTTCAGAGACCACAGCTTTGCCCGACCGTTTGAATACCCAAGTCCCGTTCTTCGGTTTAAACGCTGTTCGATTCAGCGGCAACGTGATGCTTAATTACCGGCTTTGAAGAGCTGAGTGATCTGCAGAGGAGTTGTGGGGCTAGCCCGGCGGCGGGAGCGTGTGGTGCATGCTAAGTGTGTCCTTCACAGTGGAGCATGGCAGTGGTGCTTATCTCCCGTACCAGACGTGCGGCTTGACGGCTGCTGCTGTATATATGAGCAGCACGTTTAGGGGAGGGCCGGGCAACCGGCACAAACACGCTCAGGCATTCATGAAGCAGAGAAACAAATCAGACCGGACAGCCTTTTCTCTTCTTTTAAAGGGAGCTTTCTGCTTTATGATGAAAACCAAAGGAAGAACTTCTGCCAGACGGTCTGAACAGTTGAGGACAAATTTTCAAAAACATCGCAGTTGGAAGATCTTCTGTTAAAACTAAACATTTTTGTAATTGTACACGAGTTGAAAATTCTGAATCACAAACCTTGTAAATCAAAACAGGAAAGATACCACGCCCCTAAGGTATTACGAGAACAATCGTCATATGTTTTTATTTACCTTCTTTAGTTACCAATAATAGTCCGAATGACGTTTACATTTGGAGCAAACCTCGGGCTCCAAGTATGTCAAACTTCCCTTTTCTTCCACTCTTATTTTATCATTTACCAAAAGGATTGTTCTACGATGTTACAGGCTTGTATCACTAGATTTTATAATCAGTGATAGGACATACCTACGACAATGTGATATTATAAAAATTGCAGTTAAGTAATTTCTGAACTTGATTCTCTAGTGATATTTACGTGTATTTTAAAACTGTTCTCCTGGAAAATTGACCCGTGGAACATTTTCGGCTAAATCGGAAGCATTTGCACGGCATGAGTCAGAGTCTACCGGATCTTCTCAACTTTGTAATGGGAAGTTTTCACATGGCTGGGTCTGATATCCGGGAGAATGTCTGCGCCTGGAGCAACAATCACGGATGTATTAGCAATTATCTACTTCAGGACATGATGTCAAATTCATTACACCCTGCAAAAACCATTTTAATGAACAGCTTCGCTATAAAACATTGATGAATCCCGCGCACACGCAGGACCTGACACCGGCATCACAATGTGTGACATCGCGTTCTGATGAGGTTTGTTTTTGGAAACCTTCCCAACCAGGGCAACACAAGATAATTAAACTCTAGGTAGTCATTTTGTAAAGTTCTAAGTTTGAAATGAACATTTTTATACTCTTAATTGAGAGGAGAGTCTGTTGGCATAGTCAGGAATCGTAGCTATTGTCTTTTTAGATGTAAAGCGACCGGTAGTGGTGTAGCTAGATGTGTATATAACGAAACGTTGGACAAGTAATCGTACATGGATGCGGCCTTTTTATTGCCGCATGACACAAATTGACAAATTTAAGTCAGCTGTATAGTATTTCTGTCCCAGTAAGGGAACAGGATAAGTAAAGATATATTTCTGAAGCATTTCCCAAAACAGATGCACAATACGATGGGAGAAATGTAAAGTTTAAAACTTATCCTTGTTTCGTACCAGTAGAAGCAGTGGCAAAGCGGAGGGCCTCCTAGCTGCCCTAAGCGCCGGTTATTGTAAAGTCCCGGCTGTGAAGTCCACACGTTTCCCCTGCGCTTCTGCACAGTCGCACAGCCGCCCGGGCACACCTCCTCCGCGCTTAGCGGCACATAATGAGCACTATTGACATGCCGCACTGATGAGGCTACTTACTCATCCCCCTCTCTCTCCGCGTACGTAAGTGGGAGCAACTCATGATCACAGCGTTATTCACCGGGCTGAGCGCCGCACTGGTGAGGAACCCTCCGCCGCGGGCTGGGGCCAGGGTCCGCGGGGAATGTAATCTACATAGGGAAAACGGCGCTTAGGGGAGAAGCGAGATTACGGTAATAAGTGATCCCGTCCGAGATCGCGCAGATCTGTCTAGTCGGACAGGATCGATAGAAGCTCGCAGTGGGGAGATATTCTCTCTGCGGCAGCAGCACTGCCGCGGCCCCAGCTGGCGCTGGCATTATTTCCGCATCACGCACCCATAACCGCGGTAATTAAATGGAATTCCCTCTATTGGGTCGAGAGTGTTTTAACCGGCGGTGTAAATCATCTTCCGCGCGGGGCCGACTCCCATCCCCCACGCACCCCGCACAGTCACGTTGTTTGAATGACTCCATCGAATTATCGACATCGCATTAACGGACAGAGAGGAGAGCCACTTCTCAGTGGGCTGTAAGAGTGACACGGAGAGAGTTTGTGCCCGGCCTGGCTGTAGTTGAGCTGGTGTTGGCGGCGCGCGCGGTGCTGAGGCTTGTTGTGCGGTGAGTTCGGCGGTGCGCGGCGGTGCGGCTAACAACATGGCGTGGCGCTGGAAGCTGACGGAGCTGACCCGCAGGATGGTGTCGGGACCCACGGAAGAAAACGTCAATTTTGTACATTTCGACAATCTTGAAGATGGCGGGAAGTATCAGGGGACCGGGGAAGTCGTGTGTCTGGAGGAACTCGGACCACAGAAACTTAACAATGGCGGGCTTCAGCCGCAAGAAGGTGGCGCCGCGGCTGGGGCCGGGACCGGGGCAGGGGCTGGGGCTGGGGCTGGGACCGCGACCGCACCCCCCGACGGCGCGGGGGAGGGGGCTGTGGTGGGAGAAGGAGCGGGGGGCGGGGACATGGAGCCCCTGACCCGACCTGGTGAGGTGGTGGCGGAGTTACCCAAACGGATTATCAACCCGGAGGTCCACAAGCCCAAAATCACGGCCTGGGACGCCGGCTGGAACGTTACTACAGTCATACAGGTAACAGCATCAATCATTTCTCGCCTTTTCTTAAACATAAACTTTTTCGTTGTTGTTAGCATAAAAGAACACTTTCATTATGATCCAAAGCAAGGAGACAATCTTTTCGTTTACGTCAGCAATTTGTGAGCAAACGATGAAAATTGTGGTGGCAGTGCGTTTGCAAAGGTGAGTCCTGCCAGTCTAGTGCCCATACCAGCGCACAGAGGCTAACCATACCATGCATGCCGTCACATGAGGGGCCATCTATTTCCTGGTGCAGGGGATCAACTAAAGATGCTTACCTACAAATTAGATTCAGATTTTCGTCATAATCCTTTCTGCATCGTCAGAATTTGATCGGCACGGTACATGGAAAACCGAAGGGTCTTATTTCGTTTAAAACATTACGTGATTTCGTCCAGCCTTATTTATATTTGCGAGTGGATTTTTCAACGTACATTTAACGTGATGGGGAGAACTTTTCTGCTTTTCTTACAAATAAATCAACAATTGCACGAATAGCATCTTCATAAGAAGAGCATTTGTTGTTGTCTCTGCGTGCCGTTTTTGTTTGTTGTCGGTATTCAGAGTAGATACGAGATACCAGCACAAAAACAGATAATTGCTATGACGTTGGACGATACAGACGACAATGTCACTCTGTGTTAACTACGTACTAGATAAATCTTACGGACATATAATTAAAACGCCTTGTTCTTCCTGTACTTCGTTAAATTCCTCCACAAAACGATCAAATTACAACGTAGCGTCGAGCCTTGCCTTCGCAGCTGGTTTCAGGTGCACGTACATGAGGGATCGATGGACAAGATTTTCCGAAATGCCCTTTTACACCCTTCTTTTCTGCTTCTTCTTATTTGAATAATCCTCTTACACTTTTGCCACACAAGTTCTTAAGATCACGATCAGTCATATCCTGAATTCTAAAGCGTGGACTGCTCAACCTTGGCAAATACCGGCATTTCAATACATGTACGTGCTATGCGTGCGATGGTTTGATGGTTGTTGCACTGAATTTTCAAAAATCTAAATCGCGTTGTACATACCATTTTGTACGTTTATAAAAGAAAAAAACATCACAGAAGATATTATAGCTGTTGTATTTATATATTCATTCCTCAATTTGGAATAAATGCCAATCACAATTGTGTGTTTCAGTCCCATTGTCAGTCCAGTTGCATGAAAGGTACAACAATTAAAGGTTGTAGGTTTTCTGCACCGATGTGATTTTTCGATCTGAGCCAGACCGCAGACAGTCCTGAATGGCCAGTAGAGGTATACTAGCCTTTCTGAATTTGACTTTGACACTAAAACCTCTAAAGAACAGGAGAACCATTGGCGGTCAGCTTTAGTTGCAAGTATCAACATATTAATATTCTGTTGAATGTTGTGAGAAGGAAAGAAAAGAAGAAGAAAATGACCTTCAATATTAAAAAAAGTAATATACAGCAACCTATATGCTGTCACCAACACAAGCATAAGATTTGACTTGTATTGCGACATTGCACTAAACTAAACGAACGTTTTGTTCAATATTGAATAACAATGATGCAACATTCATGAGATAGTAATGTATCATACATAGTATCACATGGTCGTTATCATGTGTTAATGTTTACTAAACACAAATTATTAAAGGGGTCAGGTACGTAACATCTAAACAAGACGGGATACCACATTAAACTCAACAAACCTGGACCAGAACATAACAGTGAGGCATTAAATCATATCCAGCAACAATATAGAACTGTTCCGCTGGTCGTTTTGTGTTGGACGTACTAGAAAATTATTTTCGAAGGGCTGTTCATAGTTCGTGTTGTCTGGTCGGAGAGTTCCTGGGCAAATTCCCAGACTGCGACATGCGATTCTAGCGCTTTCTTGGAAGACGAAAAACATTTAAATCAACATTTCAAACACATGCCATATCTTCATGATGATTATCAGTTGCTGCTGCGCAACTGATTCCAGTAAAGTTCTTTAGTTTTTTCCCCTTTATATTGTCGGTCGTTCAATAGTCACTCTTGATATGCACACTCCACGAGAAGGTATGAGAAATCATCCATGGCCACTGAGTGGCAAATCATTCATCAAATCTTTTAGATCTAAAAGCATCAAACTACTATCGCTCTGGTGGTCCCATATCCGTATGCATTCGCTATCTGGATGATAGCATACTATAAGCCAAATCTTTGCCGTAGTTAGTTTTAGTACACAGATTGTTGACTAAATAGGCCGTCTCGTTTGCTATTCATGATGTCTCACGAGACTTTGAAGCCCACTTAACCTTTCACCCATATTCTCTCATAATCTCGTTTGTTGTATCCACGTTATCTGCCTCATTACAGTCTTGTGGTTTCCCCACGCAATCCCCGATTAGGTGTGAAGAACATGGCCTTCCACTGACCTTCATTACATCAAGGTCATTCCGCCATTCTACTCCAAATGAAGCCGCCATGTTTTAGAAGAACGTCCCATAATGCTTTACGGCTTCGCATCTGTTCAATGTATCTTGTCTTGTTAACCATGCTTCAGGCTTTAGTATGACAAATTGAGGTCACAGAAAGTCTTTAGTAAGTTTCCATGTCTATGACCTGTATCACTGCTAATGATGGCAATATTTTTGACGCCAGTGTTTCAAATTCTAGGCTCCTAAAGGTAGACTTAACGCTTCATGTTGTATGTTCATTGACTATTCTCACCGATTTCAGACGTTATGTAAAAGAGTTCTGTAGTCATGATTTAAACACAAAATACACTTGTCTTTATGAAATCCTATTGTCTCCATCATTTACTTGCCTTAGTTTTACACGTTTTACTCAGAAAGGCTTATGAGTTAAGCCCTGATCATAAATGTATCCTCCCAAACACTGCCGAACTCTCCACAACCATGATTGTGAGTAGGTCGGGCGCCAGGTCGGCTGTAGTTTGCTGGTATCGGCGAAGTTGGCTACTTTATAAACATTCCAGAGTGAGGTTTGGCCATGGTTGAGGACTGGTTGGCTGGCGGTTGGGAGTAGGTCAGCAATGGTCGGGGCGTGGTTGTTTTGACACAAATTTAACCGAAATTTGATTCGATTTGATTCAATCAAATGGTAGGCGTGGCCTAAATATGGTCAACTTACCCCAAAACTAGGTTGTTTGGTGGTCGGCGGAAGGTTCTGAATGTGTGATAGGGCCTTTAGCAACAACATGTTGAGGGTGTTCACGCCCACCATACTCAGTTGAATGTCTTAATATGTCATAAAACAAGCTTTCAACATAAGTCAAGATGAGGACACTGCTACAGTTATGATACCAGTATGCTACATTTGTTTCTTGAATATAATCATGATTTGTGGCCCCAACATTTTCCTGTAAAATCAGATTATAACTGACCTTTACCTAGTTAGGCAGAGAATTTATTCACACTTGTATTTTCCACGATTTATAGGAATTTCTTTTCACTCACATAAATATGTAAAATTGATAAATTGAATATTTTCTAAAAATAGCTATTCTAAAGGCTTAAGAAAATATCTAAACTTAACGAAATATGTAAACTTAATGTGAGGTTCCTCGGGGGGTATTCTCGGGAGTATTCTTTATAATGTTTCTGGACTCTTTTGGACATTTTTAAAACAGTTACGGATGCAGGAATCAAAAAGGAATGCCCTGTTTATTACGATATGAAACCATTCACATTATTAAAAACAACATTATTTTTACGGCTTTTTTCATTCACAGTGTCGGCATGTATGGCATACATGTGACTGATTTATTGCTAGATCATAGGTTAACGACGGTGTTTGTTGTTTTTTGCAGGGAATGTTCGTGCTGAGCCTGCCGTATTCCGTAGTACACGGTGGGTATTGGTCCATACTTGCCATCATCTTTGTAGCGTACGTGTGTGCGTACACCAGCAAGGTCCTGGTCCAGTGTTTGTACGAGGAGAATGAGAAGGGGGAACGGATCCGAGTCAGGGACAGCTATGTTGAAATTGCACAAGCGGTCTGGGGGGAGAAAACAGGCAGCCGTATCATTAACGTAGCTCAATTCATAGAACTGACCATGATCTGTATATTGTACATCGTCGTGTCGGGAAACTTGCTAGTGAACAGTTTCCCGCACTGGCCCATCCCCGAGCAAGGCTGGTCCATCATTTCCACAGCCTTCCTGGTGCCCTGCGCCTTCCTGCGCCACCTCAAGGGCGTGTCCCGCATCAGTTTCTACTGCACAATAGTCCACCTGCTCATCAACGCCTGCATTATCGGGTACTGCTTCTCCCGTGCGCCGCAGTGGGCCTGGGACCACGTCACCTTCTACATCAACGTCAAGATGTTCCCGGTGTCGCTGGGAGTCATCGTCTTCTCCTACACGTCTCAGATCTTCCTGCCGTCTCTGGAAGGCAACATGGAGAACCGCAGCAACTTCGTCACCATGGTCAACTGGACGCACATCACGGCCGGCATCTTCAAGTCCATCTTCGCCTACATCTGTTTCCTGACGTGGGCCGAGACCACCCAGGAGGTCATCACCGATAACCTGCCCAACGCGGCGTTCCGCGCGCTGGTCAACGTCCTGCTGACCGCCAAGGCCCTGCTGTCCTACCCGCTGCCGTACTACCAGGCCGTGGAGCTCATCGAGAGAGACTTCTTCCAGGGCCACGACTTGACGCGCTTCCCGTCCTGCTACGCGACCGACGGGATGCTGAAGGTGTGGGCTCTGGCCGTGCGCTGTCTCCTGGTGGTCGGCACGCTGCTGATGGCCGTCTACATCCCCCACTTCGCGCTCCTCATGGGCTTCATCGGGAGCTTCACGGGCACCCTGCTGTCCTTCGTCTGCCCCTGCTGGTTCCACATGAAGCTGAAGTGGGATCAGATCTCCTGGAAGATCCGGATCTGGGACTGCATCGTGATCGCGCTCGGCACGACGTGCGGGCTCATCGGCATCTACTACTCGTTGGAAGGGTTGATAGAAAAATTTAGACATGACCTAGGATACGACTTGAACGACTGACCACCTCCTACAGTAGAACACAAAAATATAAATTTACTCTTCAATATTAGAGATATAAGAATATCACTTAAGTCAGTGGTAATAGGAGTATCAGTAGACCAGATGACGTTTTGACCAGGACAAAAGGTCCCTAAAGCCAAAAGTCACTACGGTTTACATCTGCCCGTGTAGGGATCCTATCCTGACCTTTACTGTTTTGGTGTATTTCTGTGGTAATGGAGAGAACAAAGATATGAATAATTGCAATAAGGCAATCCGCTAGTTCAGCTGGTGTATGTTGTACTGTAGATATAAAACCTATTTCTGTGTGAGATGACCACTTTATGCAATGTTAGCGAATCACAAGGGAAACAAGGTTCATCAACCGAAGGAAAGCCAAATAGACTTGGAGCGTTGGATTCGACAGGGTTTGAGACAAAAGACAGATGTAAAGGTATATTTAAAAAGAATGTCCAAGCTCGTCTAGTCTCAACTGGTGAGGCAAAAAGCTCGTCTGTGGAAGGGACATCACAACGTAGTCTGTGCCACTCTGACCTTTGCCCAACTTTTCGGAACTCTCTGAACGTTCCCAGGATGCCCTTCGTGAGGCTGTACATCCGGGGATTCCTTTAAAGTTTAAAGTCACTACAAAGTCCAATTTCCCGTGAGCATTCCAACTGAGTTAAATTGCATACCAATGAATTAATGACATTATTCATACAGACTACTTCGTGATTTACACTGCGTGTTTCACCTAAAGTAAAGCCCAGATCATGAGACATATTGAACGTTCAAACAGGTATATAATGTTATCCCTTCATATACAGTCTCTAATGACTAATGTGGGACACACTGTGTTTGAATTGACGTAAGATGGAGAAAATACTTGAAGATCTATGAACGCAAAGTCTGGTGCTAAAACACATAGATACATTTATCTTTAAAAAGTCCCAGATCTAAAGTTGCTCTGAATAATGTTAAGCTGCGTAACACGCATCGGAACGTTAAAGTTAATAGCTGAAAGTGTGTGGTATCTTTATGTGCTTCGTACAGGACATGACATCATTCTTGACCAGAACCTCAAGTGGACAAAAGACATGCCTCAGACTCAGTCGTGTTTTCTTCAGTCAGTGGATGTATTGTGAACAGGAAAAGCACCAAATGTTGTAAGCGAGAACAAAGAAGAAGCTGCAACGTAGAGGAAAGTAGAAAACAGGCATGTTTCTTTCACCATGCCTCTCTTCATGGATTAAACTGTCTTGTGTTATCAAAGTCAGTGTCGTGCTTTCATTTACACTCGGAGTGTGCACAATTTGGCTTCGGTGATGCATGAATGATTGAACGTAGATTTTTATCAAAAATTGAGGAGAATGAAACATTTATCAAGTGTTATATACCATGATGTATAACAGATGTAAATATTTAAAGTGCGTATTAGATGCTCTAACTCTCGCGTCTGTCACCACAATTGTGAGAACAGCAACCTTCAAAAAAGGCAGTAATTGTCAATAATTTCTTGGCCCCTCACTGAGTCCTATAAAGCTGCCAATTCTCCTCCAAGCGGGAAGCTTTTAGCGCCACCGTAAGGACCTTCCCGGCTGCAATCACTCTGTCTGCGGCGAGCGCTGCTAATGGTAAACTTCGCGTGGGTAAGAGACTCGCTCTTTGTGAAATTACACTCCCAGCGCCTGTCACAGCGCTCTACCGTACCTCACTGCTAATAGAGGTATGAACGAACCCCGATGATGTGGATATAGAGGAAACGAAGTGCGCGATATTACAGCCATTTACTCAGCCTTCTGACGTCAGACGATCTGGAAGACGGCTTGCCGTGAAAGACACGGGGTCACGGGCCGTCTTTTGTTCTCGATGGAAACGTCATTTGCAGGCCTGCGCAGAAAATGGAAGGTTAATGAAGTGCGAAGATGGTTAATGACTTCTCTTAACGAAAGACGAAGAGATGTAAAGGCAGTGGGAGGATGTAGGTCATTAAGCAAACATGGTGATCAGAATGTTAAGTTGTTTTTATTTGAAATATTTGTATATACTAGTATGCTCTACGATCACCCATAACGCTAAACCCCACAATATGATTGTCTCAATGTTGAGGTAACAGTGGACCCTTAAAACGTCCCGTGGGAGTTTAGCGTTACGTACTGTTCTGCATATGGGCAACATTTACCCATAGTTTTGTGTACTATCAGGACACAATACTAAATATGCCACTTGTATCGATTAATTTTGTCTAAATCTATTGGTTTCTTGATATGAATTCAACGTTATCAACAACTAATCGAAGAAAGTAGACCGGAACAACACAACTCACGGAATTTTCTAACGTACGAATCTAAATTGATTCACATTATTCAAGGTAACTTGCAGTTGAGAATATTCCCGAGATATCTGTGTTGAAGAAGACTATTTAGAACGATGCTGCTCTAGCAACTTCGGTGAAATTGGCTGCACTTCACCTGGCTTCAATGTCTCTGTAGATTGCTTTGTGTAGCTGTAAGGTTAATTATGTAGTTAGAATAATGCCAACATGAATAGTAACAACATGACACAACTACAATCACAGTTAATATGAGATAAGGATACATACATACTTGTACATGCATACAGCAAAAAGAATCTGAGACAACAGCAAACGAACGTGAGGAGTAAGCATGTGCATATTTCAACAAAAGTGCAGAAAACTCCGATTGGTGTATCCGGAAATCTTTTGGCAAATTGTCTGACGACCTAAGGACCGGTGAACTGGTCCAGCTATACCTCTGGGTTAAAAGAACAGACATACTCGGAGAACATGTAGTGCACCGGTGTTTCTGTCGTGATTTTGATTTTTCTTTATCTCTGTTTTGTTCTTTTAAAAGAATATCAACGAACGTAACTGACTCTGCAAAGATTTGCTCTTAATATCTTTAGACTTTACACAGAAATGACAATAATTTTCCGTATACAATGTATAGCGTTACATACCAATACTTTATCAGAGAGAAGACAACAATAGCACGACAAAAATCCCTGTTAGTTTTGAATTCTGCCCTTCCAGATTATTGGTGCAGTCCTATCGAAAATGGACTTCTGTGGGCAATTATAGAGGCTGTTCACGAAAACATGTAGTCTATAATGTAAATAACTGACAACATTAACTCCAAATCTCGTTCTACTCACCGTAATATCTCCAGGGGGCCAGCGCAGGGCGGCGGCGAAATTGCGGCCGGTACCCGCCGATAAGTACGTTATAATCGCGTCAGATCGCCCAAATATAGCTAATTTCTAAAGCCGGCATAATTCCATGTACATGGGAGCTTTTAGTCATACTTGAATGCCAATTATTCTGTAGATACATTTTTATTCGTTCATTTGTAATAGATCGCAACATACCAATTTCCCAGGTAGCATAGTTGAATACAGAAAGGGTACATTAAGAGAACAATATACAGAATACGAATATCCATTAAGTAGACCAAGATAGAATATTAGTCCAAAGCATGTCATTTCTATAATAACTCTATTCCCACCAGTGGCCTCAGTCACCCATTACGGACTTGGCACTCGTGTTTTGTGTAGCTTCTCCACTAATGACACAGCAAACACTTACGGCCATCTCAGGAGCCTGCATGTGCGAAAATTATATTTATGTGCACCATTTGGATGCTGGCAAATTTCAAACACGTTCACTGTACCCTCGATTTATCTCATGTTTTAGAATTATAAGACGTTTTATAAGAAGACCAACTTTTTATAATCAAATGTTTGGAAATATATGCCTTGCTTTATTGGCAATGTACAACACAACTATGATCATGGTGAGATGTAGCAAACACTACAGTCAGAGAGCGACGCGTTCTGGAAAGACACCTTTAATGATCCCCTTTGTTTAAGCCTGGAACAGATTTTATGCAGATTTAACAGAGAGCAGTTGGGGTTTAAATTTCTAGCCATTTCCTTATTCTATTCGTTTTTTTAACTTCGCATCCGAGTGCTAGATGATTAGTGATAAGTCATGAAATCATATTGATTTATATTGTTAATATTGCATTTTACAAACTATGAAAAATTCTGCCAGACTAGCACAATGATGTTTGCAGGTTGGTTTGAGCCTGAGGCAACGTTTTAGACGTTATCTGAACATGGCAGGGCAGGTTTGTGGTAAACAGATAATACTCGTCCCCACGGGGCTCCGCGAATTCACCTCGTCCCCAGGGGCTTCCGGGAATTACGTTAACCACGAATAGAAGCAGGGGAGTTAGACCACATAATAAAAATGACGTCAGATTGGTTTTACAGGATTTAGCTGGATGGAAAGTGGCAGTAATTCCACCAAGCCTGAAATGGTTTGTCATGAACGTTTGTACGCACAAAATGTGTATACATTTACGTAAATAGAATTTACACTGGTTGAAGGAAACATTAGAACCACCCTTTTAATGATTTTGTATAGTTCAACATGATGAGCATTTGCGTCAGAGCGGAAAGGTGTATTTTTGGTTCACGGCAGGAAGGAGAGCGGTTCATTTTTCACCGGATTACCGCCTGACACGGGGTGGAGGGAGAAATGGGGAGTCATCGAATCCTCACGGGTCTTGACCCGCCACTGGATTATACTAAATGTTATCCGTGCACAATCGCCAGGTGTTGAATATCTCTGGCTTTCGTGCCTTTTATACCATCATGTGATGTGGTATTGAGGCAGCGATCTTTGAAAGGTACGCGAGGGTAGGAGAGCAGTCTTCTACAACAGCGGCAGATTCAGCACCACGGGCATGTACAAACACACCGGAGCTTGGTGGCTACAACGCTTTCACTATAACCTCAAATCAATGTGCTCATATCATAACACAATTCCATGACTTTTTTCTACATAACCAGAGCCTATAAAAATCAGCTGTACACAACTTGCATAATTTTGCAACGTTAGTATTCACTAGCAAACCCTCATCCAGCAATACAATTTCCTCTAAATTTGTTAAGACAGTTTCCACAGGGAAAGCAGATGGTTCATGTGACGCATCTATGTCTCGTTTGAACCCATTTGCTGGAGCCCACTGCCTAAATATGAACTGATAACACTGTGCAGTACAGGTAGTTTTTATCTGAATGTTTGCCAGGTAGGAGTCGAGGAATCTTTCCTTTCTGAGACAGAAGAAGCATTTTAGAACCTGCAATGTTCATGAGAGTGAGAGCATTGATTGAGCTTTAATGATACGGGTAATCGAATCTGAATAACGATGATGCTGCCTAATCCTAACTCCCAAACACTTGCTTTACATCGACAGAACTAAATCATAAACACGGCTCTTTTGTATCCCAAACGAGCCTGTCGGATGTCCCGAATATTCCCCTTGCTGTCTCCCCCACAGTTGTAACTGCGGCTGGCTGTTCGGCACGCCCCGCCGCTATCTGAAGCCGGCAGCCGGCGCGCGTGGGCCCGCCGCGTCCCGCCGGACTTCCCGCCTGCCAACAGCCGGATTTCTTTTCAATTTTTCAATTAAGTCTGGGTTGATTCGGCTGCAGCAAGAAAAGTGCACGTTGAGGGGATAACAACGAAATGAGGAAAATACATTATCTTAAGCCTCTGTCACACATTCAGAACCTTCCCCCAACCACCAATCAACCAGGGTTAGCGGTAGGTTGGGAACAGTCTGGCCGGGAGGCCATATTCGGCTATGTGTGACATGTGCTTTACTATAATATTTTCTACTACAAGACTGAAATGAATATGAAGCAGGTTTAGGTATGTTTAATGGAAAGATCCTCCATGCTATGCTACCAACAAGGCAATGCGGCACACAAGGCTAGGCAAACATTCCATAGGTTTATAAAGACATCCTATCTAGCAAGTAAAAACACGAGCTTTTTAAATTTAAACCAGGAGACGCATTCGTCGAATGACACCAACAATATATAAGGTGTAAATACCACAGGATAGCTGGATAAGAGAAACGACACTTCAAAACAGAAATAGTACAACGGCTTGTGTCTACTTCGATTGTTGTTGTTTTTAGGTGTATCAAAAATCCTTTAGTAAACGGATTTTGTGTCCAAAACAGTCTTGGTTATGTTTTACATGTGGGTTTTGCGGCTATTCGTGGCAAATTTGTTGACTTATTTACCGGTATTCCGTATAGGCTACGACAAAAACTGCATACGGAACTCCAGGCTGCAGGAGAACGTGAACCGGCCTGGTAATTGCTTGCAAACGAA